CGTGCGTGCGTGCGTGCGTGCGTGCGTGCGTGTGTGTGTGTTTGCGTGTGTGTATGTGTGTTTGTATGTGTATATAAAATCCAAAAGTAATTGCGTAAGTAATCATATTTTAAGTAGTTCCTCTGTAGCCGCGTAGTCGAGAGTCTTCAGCCAATTTTGCAATTTAGACTTCAGTTCGTAACTAGATAAGTCAACACAGTTGTGAATAAGTGTACAGATAATAAAACTGCTATAAACAAAGTAATAAAACTATATTTGAATAGAATAAAAATATAGTGGCATTGCCAATTATCTGGTCAAGTTTAAATTGTAATAATTTAAATGAATAAAATTTGTTTTTTTTTTTAGTACTCGGCTCAGTTTCGTGTAACGAAAAAAACGGGACAGCAGAAGTTGGTCAAACTCAATCAAATATTTTTCATACAAAATGCAGTTTATAGCAGTTTTGTTATTTGTAAACATATTGTTACATCTAAAAGTAGGTCAACTAAGCGTCTCTATGAATGTCATATTAAATGTGTAGGTTCGTTTGATGTCAAAATTTTGGATATTTCTCATTATATTTCTAGTTTTATTTTTAAAAAGTTATTGATGTCGATTAACTCAGGTAACGTATTTTCTATATCAGTTTAAAACTTTTTGATATCTCTTTATGGAATAATCGCCTGGGCACACTTAACGATTACACCCTGTATATACATCATACCTGTACATACATAATTTACCCACATACACCCAACTGCCGGCCACAGGTCTCATCTAAGGCGAAGGTTTAAGCAATAATCCACCATGCTTGGCAAATTTTTACACATCTTCAAAGAGTTTAGTTAGTAGTTTTAGTAGAGTAGTTAAAAAACAGATAGTCGTCAACCACATGTTAAAAATGTGAAAATATTCACTCTACCGTGCGTATACATATTGGAAATTTTACTTTCCGTAAAGCGTAGTCTTAATTTATTTGAATTCGTCACTCGGGCGCGCTGTCCTGGAGCGCGGAGGCGACGGCAAGCCAATATGACCACATCCACTCCTTCCTTATATAGTGGAAATATTTTTAGGTCTTTACTTGAGTTACGTGCCTGCGAGTATTTGCGAGTGCGTGAGAGTGTGTGCGAGTGCCTGTGAGTGCCTACTACGTAGGGCGCACTATAAGTTTCCGGAACTGGCCACTTACATAAACAATATTTAAAAAGTAATTACAACATTTGAAAATTGAACTCTTTGGCTGTAGAATACAGTTTGTTTCATTTGACTGTTGCTTGGTTTTACATTGTGGTGTCATAATTGGTTGTCTACATCACCATGAATTTAACTCGTGAAAATTTTCGTAGTATGATTTTCTACGACTTTAAGGGTCGTATTCTAGAAGTCTATTCAATGCTCAAGTCAGGATTGCACTGGCAACACAAGCACTGGAAATACGACCCTAATGGCAGGGACTTGAGTATGATTTCTAGTGCTTTGAATCATACTCAAGTCCTGACTTAAGCATTGAGTAGAGTTCTAGAATACGACCCTCAGTGTAATTTAACAGCTATGCGGAGTTTCGCTCGGCTTCAAACTGCTTTTGGCGATGAAACACCATGCAAGAAAACTATTTATAGTTGGTTTGCAGAATTCATACGCGGTCGTGTGAATCTCAGTGACGATTTTCGTGATGGGGGGGACCATGTCCGGTCCAATGCTGTGAACAACAAAAACATCGATGCTGTGTGCCGTAGGATCAAAACAGACAGGCATGTGACATACCATGAAATTCGGGCATCTTTAGGCATAGGCATGAGCCAAATATAATCAATACTACTCAAACATTTGGGTGTGATAAAGCTGTGCTCTCAGTGGATCCCAAAAAATTAGACTGAGGCTCAAAAAACGTATCGCGTCACTTGATGCAATGCCATACTTGCCAGATTCAACGAAGGGGCGTCAAATTTGGTGTGGGACAGTAACAGGTGACGAAACATGGATTTATAGTTACGATCCCGAAACATAGCAGCAATCGAGCATATGGGTCTTTCGAGATGAGCCGAAACCAACCAAAGCGGCGCATGCAAAGTGCCCCTAAGCGGATGATAGATAGATAGATAGATAGATAACACGTTTATTCAGCACAAATACAAACAGAAACAAAACATTTACAATCACTTCACAGAGTATAACATAAAAGCACATAGAACATTCATTATTAATTTTATACACATTTATACAAAACACACATTGCGAGACAAAACAAATACTGTGAGAAAAACACACAAATACTATAACAACTGATAAAATTTTAAAATATTTATGACTACAGTTTGTGCTGAAATGGCCCTGACTCAGCATAAATACTGTAGACCAAGAGAAGGCAAACAGTGCTGATTTTCTGCCAGTACCATACCTATGGTGAGCGATCGCAGCCCAGCAAGCCATGCCACCAAAGTGCATCACACGCAAATATATATACCTAACTCTAAATACTATATATATATATATAGTATTTAGGGTTATATATATATATATATATATACCAAGCAACAGTGTAAGATGTAAAGCAAACAATGTAAATAGTGTAAGTAATGAAGGTAAGCAATATAAATAATAATGTAACTTTACAAACATAATATTAAATTATAACACTAGCCACCAAATATGAGTATGTATAGGTACAGAAATTTAAGTTTACAGGTATCAAACGCATTGATTAGGGAAATATTTATGATTGCTTCTTTTTTTAGTAAAACTGGACACGTGGCTATTGTTGCTTTGGAAAATCGTTTTACCGTGAATAGTGATTGGTACACAACTATTTGGTTGCCGGAAGTTATTGACAAACTCCGTAAAAATAACCGTAAACGCCATATCATCTTGCACCACGATATTGCCAGTTCTCACTCGGCCAGACAAACAAATGAATTTTTGAAGGTGAACAACGTTGACCTTATGAGCTATCTCGCGTACAGTCCCGACCTGGCACCTTGTGACTTTTATTTATTTCCAAACATTAAGTACCAGTTACGCGGTCAACGATTTTCATCACCTGAAGAGGCTGTCGAGAAAATATTTTTCAGAGATTGTCACGGAGGAGTGGCATAAATGTTTTCAAAATTGTTTCATTCGTATGAAAAAGTGCATTAACGCTAACGGAGAATAGTTTGAGAAACAATAAATTCATTTCTGACCATTTATAGTACTTTTTCTTATTCGTTCCAGAAACTTATAGTGCGCCTCACGTACTAACTACTATGTACATAACAGCAAGGCGCTGTCTGCACGCGCGCAAATGTGTGCGTGAAATACTAGGGCTACCTTTCTACCTACTTTCTCGCACGCAGGCACTTGTAGGCACTCACAGGTACTCGCACGCACTTGCAAGCACCTAAATCAAGTAAAGACTTGAAAACATTTCCACTATATCTGGTGGAACCACAGCCTTACTGTAATGTTACAAATTGTATCATAATTGCGCATTGGTAATGCTCGGTTCTTCTCACTCACCGATGTAATGCTCGAATCTGAACTGACTGTTACATTACAGGCGAATGCTCCCGATGAGAGAGCGAGTATTGTTACAAATTGTTTCATTACAGGTTGCGTATTGTAAAGCTCGGTTCTCCTCACGCGCCGATGAAATGCTCAAATTCGAACTGTTACGTTACAGGCGAATGCTCCCGGTGAGGGAGCACCCTAATAATTACAGGTTTCTTACCACGGTGTCTATTTTTGCTATTATACTTATGAATGAGGAATATCTATCTAACTGTAAGTTACAGCCCTTAACTCACGGACATTAAACAAAATACATCATACATATTTATTTAGCTTTAATGGCTTTTACGATTTAACTTAAATAAGCGTCCAGGGCGCGCGAGCGAGACTGGCTTGTCTTAGGTCTACGCAGCGATCGCGCAGTTGTATTATTCCGAAGAATATAATGCTGTTGCCTACTAAATAGAATTCAGATTCGCCATTAATGTACGTGAAAGCGCGGTAACTGGGCGCTCGCTTCGCGGCGGCCGCGCGGAAGCTTTCGCATCGTGTAACTGGGCGCTTATAATACGCATATCCGATACACTTGATGTTTTTTTGTTTTATCATCCAAAATCTTATGTCTATTAGGAAGCATAAGAAGAAGCATAAAAGAGAAGAAAGCCTATTGGAACTTCATCAGAAGAAATTGAAGAAAAAGAAAAAGGTGAGCTTTATATAATTGCCCTTTCTGTAGTTTTGATAATAAAGTAATATGGTCGAAGAACTCACATTTCCTTTTGGGGAGGTTTTAAGTTCGTTTTTTTTAACATTAGAAATGAAGTAAACGAAGAAGCAGGGTTTATAAACATTTTTCTTCAGAAATTTATAACATATCGAGTTCTTAGGTTTTCGCGATTGTTACACATAGGAAATGAAACTATTTTTCCGGATTTAAAACTTCTTATATTTGCTTTTTCAAACAAACCGACGTTTCGGGCCCTTTACAGGTCCCATGGTCACGGTTGACTGAGGTGGTACAGTATTCAACCAGTTATGTCTAATATTGATGCAAACCACCCTATTTTTTCACTATAGTTACAATAGTTATTAATTAAATACCTTATTTTTAATTTTACAAAGAAAACATTTCAATTTACGCTATATTAAGTTTTACAAATTATTTTATTGAATGAATTTTTATTAAGTTCAATTTATTATTAATTATTAATAGAAATTAGAATAAACTAAAACATATTAATTAGTACTGCAGTCTTATGTCTGTTTGGGATTTTTCATTAGAGGAAATACTGGATCCCAAACTGGTGGTACGGAGAAACCATCTTCCCTGTTGAAATTAGGATGTTTTTTAATTTCAATGGCCTCTCGCAGCATCCTGGGTAGACAACGGACTTCTTTTGCAAGGACCTGGGGTTTGTCAAACTTCATTGAATGTGTAGGTTTATTCATGACATGCTCGCAGAGTGCAGACTTGTTTACGCGACGGTGTTTGACATCAGCTATATGTTCTTTGACGCGGGTACAAATACTTCGCTTTGTTTGTCCAATATAAGAGAGTCCGCACTCACAGTCAAGCTTGTAAATTCCTGCATCCTGTAAGGGGATGTTACATTTCACGGGTCTCAGGAACTGAGAAATCTTCCTCAGGGGCTTGAAATAGGTCTTGATGGATGCGCGCCTGAGGACTCTTCCGATCTTGTCTGTAACACCTCTCACGTAAGGTAAGATGGCATTTCTTCGCTCGCATTTTATCTGCCTCCGTGGCCGAACGGTTACCATGCCGGACTGCCACGCAGAGGTCCCAGGTTCGATTCCCGGGGCCGGGAGAAATGTTTGTATGGCCTACATTTATTTCTCTCTTTTTTGAGTTTGGGTGTAATTTGTGGTTGTCTATGTGTGTGTCCATGGCACTCGCGACACAGGGTTTCCCTAGTGCGGGGCTATGTTGAGTGTGTGCGTTATTTATATTTATTAACACTTTTTTAAATATTGGTTTTACGGCACAGCAAACTTACAGTGTTTAGTGTCGGTTAGATATTATTTAACCAATACAAAATTAAAATATACGCACTGCTATTACAATAGTGTCGTAACTCAAAATACATGAAATTCAAGATTATACCATTTCTGAATGTAAAATTTGATTCTCTACACGTCAATAAAACCTTCGTTAGAATATTGTAAGAAACAATTAAAATTTATCTACTTAACTCCAAATGAGACATCCAAAATCAAAATCAAAATCAAAATAATCTTTATTTCATAGGTAAGCATTATTACACTTGAAATCGTCACAATGGTTAAACTCTACCGCTCATTCGTAAGGCAGATTCCCCTGAGAAGAATGAGCAAGAAACTCTAGGGGTTGCTCTTTGTAAATAACATTTACAATATTTTTTTATTTGAAACATCAGATTGAGACTACCTCCATGAGCTAAACGGGTTACTACCACGGATTTTTGTCATCCAAGTACGCAGAAGTTGTATAATAACCTTTAGTATAAAGTTTTTGTTTCACTATAGTTTTAAACCTCGTGAAAGGCAAATTTTGTATATCAACCGGAATCTTGTTATAGAAGCGTATACATTGCCCCTTAAATGATTGTTTGACTTTGTGAAGACGACTATCAAGAAAAGCTAGTTTATTTTTATTCCTCGTATTAATGTTATGTCTGTCACTATTTTTCATAAAGAAATTACTATTCCTTTTAACATAAATTATATTTTCATAAATGTATTGTGAGGCTAGTGTAAGAATGTTAATTTCCTTAAACTTATCTCTCAAAGATACTTTGGGGCCCAGATTGTAAATTGCCCTAACTGCACGTTTCTGCAGGACAAAGATTCTATTGATATCGGCGGCATTACCCCAAAGCAAAATGCCGTATGTCATTAGACTGTGAAAGTAGCTGAAGTAAACCAATCTAGCGGTTTCGACGTCTGAAAGTTTCCTTATTTTTTTAATCGCGTACACTGCAGAGCTGAGCCGTTTTGACAACTTACTTATATGGGGACCCCATTGCAATTTAGCATCTAACGTTATACCTAGAAATACAACTGTATCCACAAGATTCAATTTTTCGTTTCTAACTACAATGTTTGTAACCGTCTCTCTAACATTGGGTAATGTAAATTTCACACAATTTGTTTTTTTCTCATTAAGAAGTAGGTTATTAACAGCAAACCAATCAACTACTTTAGATATAGCATTGTTCACATCGTCATAGGAACATTGGTGCCTTTTAACTTTAAATAATAAGGAAGTATCATCAGCAAACAATACTATCTCATGTTTTATACCCTCCATAAGGCTAGGTAAATCATTAATATAAACTAAAAACAAAAATGGGCCTAGAATTGAACCTTGAGGGACACCCATGCTAATTACAGACCCTGACGATCTCGTACCGTTAACATCGACCCTCTGTACCCTACCACGCAAATACGATTTAAGAAGGTCGAGATCACGTCCCGCCACACCATAATGGCGAAGTTTCCTGACCAGTGTATCATGGTGCACACAATCAAAAGCCTTGGAAAGGTCACAGAATACACCAATAGCATCATGTGAGACTTCCCATGCATCAAATATATGATTAATCAACTCTACACCAGCGTCGGTTGTAGAGCGACCCCGAGTGAAACCAAATTGTTTAGGAGACATTAAATTATTACTATAAAAATGTGCACACATCTGATTTAGAATAATTTTTTCAAATATTTTACTGAGAGTTGGTAGTATTGATATAGGTCTGAAATTGGTGGGGTCAGAAATACTACCAGATTTGAAAAGTGGAATAACTTTACTTTGCTTCATGAGGTCAGGAAAGACACCATCATCAACACATTTATTAAAGACACAGGCTAAGTAAGGCGCAATACAATCAACTATAGAACTAATTACTCTGACTGAAAGACCATCAAGATCAGCAGTATTTTTTATATTTATAGACTTAAAGGCTTTAACAATATCGTTTGGAAATACATGACGGAACCTTAAATTAGTGATACTAACTGCATTATTTTCTTTTAGTAAGGATTCACCGGCCGTGGGAGATGAATTTAACGAATTAGTAGTCAAAATTGGAATGTTGGTAAAAAAATTTTCAAATATTTTAGCAACTTCTGCGTCTGTGTTTACAATTTTGTCATTAAATCTTAGTTGAAAATCTAAGTTACGAGGTTTGAACCTTCCAGTTTCGCTATTTATAATATTCCAAGTCGTTTTTACTACATTCGCGCTGCTTTTTATTTTATTATTAATAAACATTGCTTTGGCTGCCACACAAACACGTTTAAACATTTTCGAATATTTCCTAACAAAATCATTAAAACTGTTACTAGTGTTATAAGTTCTTTCATCGTATCCCTTCCCTTATGTCCCATCGTATCCCTTATGTGAGTTAGTTCTGGGCAAAACAGTCCTTACTCATTACTCAGTTCCCTTTTATTTTTAAATGTATTTGGCAAGTAGTAAATTGTTTAGATTTCAGTAATAAACTCTAACCTATATATAAATTTTTATAATCTTTCACGGGAAATGAGTAATTCGTTTTTCATTGATTCTAAAAAAATACACTTTTTCAGTTAATACACTATTGTATAATACCGAATACCATACCAACTACCGAATGCTTACATTCGGTAGTGTAATTATATTTGATTTTTTTAATTAGTTTTATTATTTAAGGAAATTGTTAAAATTTTAATTTATTGACTATAAATAGGAAGTAATTTTAGACACATAATTATTTCTCCATATTTTGTACCTAATAAGAAAGAAATAACTTCATTAAGCACGAATTTCATCTTCTTCCTACAAGAATGCCAACATAATGGCAGGTTTACCAACAATCAAAGCTATCGAGCTTTTAAGGAACAAAGTAAGCGTTTGGGGAACTCATGGTACACCAATTATCGAAAACTATTCGGTTGTCGTTTATACGCTAGCAAGTTTAATTAAGTAATTTACTATAACAACTCGTGGTAGTGCTACAGAACGAACCGACGTCAAATAGCTCAAGAGTCTTCACCATTGTTAGCGATGCGCTCATTGTTTAAAATAATATAGTTTAAATTTTAGAAAATATGGTACATTTAGTTTGTTTGTTTTTTTGTATTCCACCTTGTTTTTTTTTTAATGCCAACCGCGGCGAAGCAGTCCGCTACTACTCGCGAGTCGTACCGCACGGCGTCATTTGTAAATCGCCATATTTTTTTTAAAGTAATTTCACTTTGCTTCAGGACTAGTGATTTTTATTCCTCGCGCTAGTTCGTACAACCAGTTTCAAAGTGGTCATTCATTTTATTAGATTATGTACCATACGTCACCGCCGAATATGGAAACACGCAGCGCTAAAGAGCGCCGGTTGCGAGCCAAAAACGTGGCACTCAACCGCGAAGAAAGGGTGTCCCAGAATAAACAAGCCTCCGGTTCTAAAATCGCTGTGAAAAAAGTGCCTACGTTTTTATTAAGTTAAAATATTGCGCCCGGTAGCATAAAATCGGAACCCATACCGACACACACGTGCCTGAGGTAGTCAAACCTACCACTTCTTGCGCCAGTAAAGCTCCAAGCCGCTAGGGCTCCCGAAAATCATCAGCATCTAAGGAAGCGAAACGAAAACAGTTGCTTTTAGATGCCGCGAAACTGAAAGCTACCATTCAAATTGACCTTATCCACAGACCACATAAATACTATTAACC